AAGATTGAGTGAAATAAAACACTCAAAAGAACTATTATAAGTATTTATTAGGTTAAAAATAACTGAAATAAACATATCAAATATGCTCTTCAATATCATGCCAGTTTTTGTTGTAGTAGTTTGTGACTTTTTCATATTTTGAGTCAAGAAGTTCTGTATGAATTTTGTTGTACTCAGATTCATTTCTAGAATACGCTACTTTTTGCAGATAAACAAGTATTCCTTTGCGTTGAATTTATCTGCATTTCTTCTGTCGTTATATTCATTCTAAATGCTTTCAGGGTGTGAAATAGACATAGTATCAACTGCGCACTTGGAAATTCGATTGTATTGCTTGAATATCTTGGTCATGATGTGCCTTCATGAAAGTTGCTACTATTTCTCATTGTTCAACAAAAGCAGTAATCTCTTCGTAACTATGAAATTATCTTCCTATTAGATGGTCCATCCTTAAAAAACAATCACTTTCATAATTTACTGCCATATGCCATTTGATTATAAATATTCACCTGGTTTTTTCAATGAATGTGCTGTCAGTTTGTTTCTCGAAGGAAATTTTGTAGGTTATGAATAGGCGCCCCGATGTTTAGACAAATATGCTATTCGTCGGCGCGAAAAATGAGCATGCGCGCATCACGCCCCGATGGATAGCAAAATTGCCTATACGGCGGGGCGCCCCGATGAATAGACACGGCCCATTTTAAAACATGTAAGTCCTTATTTTCATAATCATTTGCGTTCGACACTAATTCATTATCATTTAAAGAATCTGTTTCAAAGGGTCTCCAGAAAGCCATCCTGACTTATTGCATACTTTTGCGTATTTCTGCTTGATCGATGGATAATAATTGATTTTTGTTCGTTTCGCAAACGCATGACGCTGTAAACTATGTGAACCAGTTTTACCAATGGAATAGTTCTACCAATGGAATTCGCTATTATAGTCCAATAAATGAAGGAGGAAAAAAGGCAAAGTTAACGTTAATTACGCACTATTTTCATCCTCCGGTTGGAAGTAGCTTTTGGAACCTCATTAAACATGAGACAAAGTTTGACTGGAAAACGCTTGCGATGGCGGAGAAAATGGCCCCAAAAGACCAGGAAAATAGGTTTTCAGTTAATATCTACTAAAATATGGCAGTTAGAGATTTTTGGTTCAGATAAAAATTGAAGTTCAGTAAATTTTCGACAAAAATGGTCCTTATCATTTTTCTCGAAAATGTCCCGGTTTCGAGAAAAACGGCACGAAACGCACCTCGAATGATGAGCTTCTGTTGTATGCCGGAGAGCACAGTCCGTGTATTCACACATCGGCGGGGGGACAAATTATTCAATAACTTTGTTAAAAATGCATATTTTCTCATGATTCAAAGTTCATGTGAAAGAGGGAATTCTGCTGCTATCATACCCTGCGTGGCCGCATGGTTTGTAGCAGACGACCCGAGCGCCACGTAGAGCACACACGCGGCGAACGACGGAGGAACGAAAGTAATAAATTATAGCGTGTACATTTAGATATACTGGTTTTTTCTCGGGATATCAAAGGTATGACTTATTTACATCGATGGAAAGGTGGGAATTCCCCCGTTACACTAGTCAAGGTGTTAAAATGTTAGAAATAAAGAGCACGTAGAAAAAAAACACCGAAAAAAAAGTGCGTTTTTTCCTTGACCCCGCTTTTTCTAATTTTATTGAAAATGGACGACTAAAAAAGTAATTGCACAATCGAAAAGTAGACCTTCTTAGCTTTCAAATGATGTATCATAGAAACCAATCGGATCATGTATACATTTTTAATTGATGGTTGTTCACAAAATTTCCCCGCGCTCCAAAAACAGCAAAAAATTGGGATTCAATAAACAAAGATTAAATGAAAATTAAAAAAAATTAGGGTATACAAATTTCAGGGATGACAAAGGACCTTATGAGGACCCATAATCAAGAAAATTTTGAGCAAATTAGTGCAATACAAAAAAAATAGGAACAAATTCCTGGCGAGGTCAAAATTGACCGGGAGCAGAAAGTTTGACCATGTTCCGATATGGCCAAAAGAGCCAAGCGTGACTCATTCTCAGGGTATGATAGCAGCAAAATTTCTCTTTCACATGAACTTTGAATCATGAGAAAATATGCATTTTTAACAAAGTTATTGAATAATTTGTCCCCCCGCCGATGTGTAAATACACGGACTGTGCTCTCCGGCATACAACAGAAGCTCATTATTCGAGGTGCGCTTCGTGCCGTTTTTCTCGAAACCTTATTATTTTTCTCGAAAATTAACTGAACTTCAATTTTTATCTGAACCAAAAATCTCTAACTGCCATATTTTAGGAGATATTGGCTGAAAACCTATTTTTCTGGTCTTTTGGGGCCATTTTCTCCGCCATCGCACGCGTTTTCCAGTCAAACTTTGTCTCATGTTTAATGAGGTACCAAAAGCTACTCCCAACCGGAAGATGAAAATAGTGCGTAATCAATGTTAACTTTTTCCCTTTATTTTTTGGACTATTAGTTATGAGATCTTGTTCAATGATTAGTATTCTTGAACATTATTTGCTCAGAACATTGTTGAATAAACTTAATATCACTTCGATCAGACCAATTTTTTTCCTAAGTTGAATTCACTTCAATCTTTGTTGGTATTGGCGCCACAATTCTCATATTCATTTCATAAAAACCTCAAAATTTTCACATTATTTCTTGAAATTCGGAGATTGAGTCTCAATTATTTTGGGAATGCGTATTTATATAGGCGCCATAATTCTTTTATTCATTTTATATCGTTATAACCTCAAGAATTTTGAATCTTGGTGATTGGTGCCACAAAGGATTATTTAATTCATTGAAACCTCAAAACTGTTAGATGCTCTATTTAATTCGAAATTAGCATCTAGTACAGTGTGTCCATTTAGTGCGTAATTCTTCGATATCTCCAAAGCCATAACCTATAAAAAAAACTTTGAAGGAAAAACTTCTTCAGTTACTCAAGTTGCTTATTTCAAAAATATTTTCAACATTACTGGGTGTTTTATGAAAGCGGGATGACTCGGAGACGAGGTTTTTCAAATGGAACACCCAGTATTGTTTATTCGGATTTAATTCCGCCGAGGTTTACTTTCACATCGCTGTGAAAAAAATTGAAATCGGTTACGCGTTGCCAAGTTATAATTGATAAATCTATTCTTACCACTATTGAAGAGTCATGTTGAATTGGGCATGGTATATTCATTTACTCAAATTATGAAAATATTTTTTGGATACGGTAGTAGCAAGGTCTAACGTATACAAATTCAGTAATTTTGCGACAAGTTCTTTAACAGGGTGCTCTATTTTGCATTTAGAATTTCGCAAAATTCAGAAGGCATTCATTAGAATTTTTCAAATGGAACACACTGTATTTTTTTTCACAAATTTATTCCGACATCTTTCACCTTCTTATCGCTGCAAAAAAAAACATAATCGGCTGAGGCGTTGTCAAGTTATGGATAATTTCCTTATTTTTACTACTATTTCGGAGTATAATTTTTACGTCATAGTTCTTTCATTCAAATAATCAAATTTCTTCATTGACCATTCATATATTTTTTTACAATAGGAACATTTGCACGCTCTCCAACTTTAAATTTAAATCAGTGTGGATTTGAAAAATTGATTCAAAATGCTACTTTCACAGATTTTTTGCAGACAACGAATTAATTTATCGAAGTACACTTCCATTCTTCGTGTAATGACCTGTCAAACATCGCCACAATCAAATAATATCTTGAATTTATTTAAAATTTTGCTGAATTCCCTCCCGAAACCCGCGTATAGTAAAGAAATATTGTCTGTATCATTATCTAGAGTTTGCCTTCTTCAAGTTTGATGGAGATTTGGATTGTGGGAATAACGACATTAAAAGTTGTCCGAATTTCAATAAATTGTCCTTATTCTCGCAATTCAAATCTCCATTGTTTGTATTGTAGAAGTTGTTTTAAAGGCAGGCGTTTTGCTTTTGGCATGTTTGTTTCACATAGGTACATATTATTTAAATCATAAGTAGCAAGATTATGGAATATTTCAAATTTTGATAAAGCTTTTATCGGAAAGATACCTGAATGATCTATATAGAACCTCGAATGTCATGTGACAAGCAATATTTCCACAATCAAATCAAATAAAGGAACCATGCCTCATAAGTGTTGCCCTGAGATAGTGATAAACATAAGGAAATTACTCATAACTTGAAAACCTCGCAACCGATTTCAATTTTTTTTTTCAGCGATGAAAAGGCGAATGATATCGAAATGAATCTGTGATGAAAAATACAGGATGTTTCATTTGAAAAATTCTAGTGAACGTCGTCTGAATCTTACAATATTCAGATTGTAAATTTTAGCACCCTGTAAAGGAAAATCATGTACATGAGACCTTGCTACTACTGTATGCCAAAAATCTTCTCAAAATTTTAATGAATGTATATACCATACCCAATTTAACATGACCCTTCAATAGTAGTGAAAATGGGTTCATCAATTATTACTTGGCAACACCGCAACCAAATTAAATTTTTTTTACAGCGATGTAGAGCTAAACCTTAGCGGAATGAATTTTGAATTAAAAATACTGGGTTTTCTATTTGAGAAAACTCGTCTCCGAGTCCTCCCGCTTTTATGAAACACCCAGTATTGTTGAAAATATTTTTGAAATGGAACCTTTAATAACGTAAGAAATTTCTTTCCAAAAGTTTTTCTCTAGTGATAATAGATTCCGAGATATCGAAGAATTACGCACTTAATGGACACACTGTATAATACGAAAGCGCTGAACGGACAAGATACTTTTTTTTATAATTGCCAGTTTGAACTGGCAATTAGCCATAATAAATAATAAAAAAAATAGCTATTTATTATACAAGGGAAAAAAGTAGATCATTTTAGCTCCAGGTTATGTTGTCAAAAAGAACAAACAAAAAACAAATAAACCGAGTTTTGAGGAATACATTTCTGAAATTGTTTTAGTTAGCAGAAATTTTCATTTTTATGAAGAAAGACGAGGAAGTGTTGGAGACTTACAGGTTTGGGTTGAAATACAACACGGAACAAAAAAATGAAAACCAGCGTACTTTCAAATACGTCAAAGACGATACGTTGGCTCTTTTCCAAGTGATTTGCGACTTGGACAAGATGAAGAAGCTCTGCAAAGGAACAAAACTCGAAATCGAGTTTACTTACTCTGACAGTAATTGAAGCAATGATACTTCGTGTACAGTGTGTCGACCTTAAGGACTTACAACCACTGAAAAATCTATATTATCTTGATACACTTGTTTCTCAACTACCAAAAAGTGCACCTCCCTCACATGTAGTTAATGTACCAATAGTGTGTATATCATGGATAGGCAATAGGTATTTATTGTGTAAGTGTTTCAGATAGCATTTTATTCGCGCGAAAAAAACGGGCCCAAAACACGCATGCAATACAATGTTTTTTCGACTACCTTCCGGGAAGCGCTTATACTTCCCGGATCCTTTTTCTTTGACAAAAGTAGCATTTTTCCGGCCTAGTCCAGGGAGTACGTACTTACAGGGTGATTCACCCTAAATGTCCTCCCCTCTAGCTCAGTTATTTTTGAACCGATCGCAAAATTTAAAATATCATCCAAAATGATTTTCGATAGAGTTTTTTTCCGCTTACCGGTCGAAACGGCTTTCATGTCCGTCTCTTAACTTTTGATTTACTATCTACTGACATTCAATAATTGGAACAGATACAGGGTGATCAAAATTCTGAATCTTGAACCACACTGTATATGTTCCAATTAAATGTCAGTAGATAGTAAATCAAAAGTTGAGATAGGAACATTAAAGCCGTTTTGGCCAATAAGGAATAGTTTCGACACAAAAAAATACTAAAGTTGAAAAATCTCGATTTTGAACACCCTATAGACCCGCTAGACCCCGAGTGTGATACATTGATAAAATCAGCTCTTCAGGGAGAATCTAAAGATACAATGAAATAGAGGGTGTTCCATTTGAAAAAATCAAGTAGTACTCTGTAGATCGTTTGTTCCAAGCACCCTGTATTTTCTGATGCAACGGGAAAAAAATCTGGAAAATCATTTTAGATGATTTTTAAAATTTTTAAATCGGTTGAAAAATAATTGAGCTAGAGGAGGGGACATTTATGGTGAATCACCCTGTACGTATGTACCTAATTTTAATTATTTTTGAGGAGGTATAACCAGGTGGTGGCAAACCAAAATGTCGAATCATTTTTTATTATTCCAGATTTTTTGGGATTGTCTCTCCTCGTTTCTATAAAATGAAAAATATGAATATTAGTTCAATATACGAGTAGTGAGGACAAATCAGATGATTTGCCCCAAAATGTCACTGCGTTTAAAGAATTTTCCTATCAGAGAGCCTAAAAGAAAAATTCACTAGCTTGTCAGTGACAATTTGTATTGAAGAAGGTTTGAAGAAGAGAAATTCACTTAGCTTGAAAATATCTTTTGCAAAAAATAAGTTATTCGCACGAAATTTGGTAGGTACCCGGGTTTTTTGAAGTGGGAAATCATCATATCGTATTAATTTTCATGAAAATTCAAGGGCACTGCGTAAGCTGTCATTATTTATTGCAAATGGCCCCAACATTTTTGACAGTAAATTTTTGGAACTTTTCATGATAAAATCTCATTCCCACACCTTTTCTAAATAAAAAAGGTACACTTTCTCAACAACGCTGGAAGTGATCGTTTTCGAGATATTCACAATTTTATATATCGATCCATGTTACTTTAGCTCCTATATAGGGCGCTAAGTGAAGTTGCTGAGAACATTACAAAAATCAAGTATGTGGTAGGTCTCGTCAAACTTTTTTCCTATGTTTATTTATCAAAACATGATTTGTTTTCGAGTTATAAACGGTTGAAATTTTCCAAAACATGGTTTATTTTCGTCATAAGTTATTTGCAACTGCAAAATATTTTCATCAAAATTTGAACACAGGCTTTATTTTGACTGAATCTACCACATACTCAGTTTTTTTAATGTTCTCAGTAGCTTTACTTAGCGCCCTAGGAGCTATAAGTAACATGCATCGATATAGAAAATTGTGAATATCTCGAAAACGATCATCTTTAGCGTTGTTGAGGAAGTTCACCTTTTTTAACTTGGAATAGGTCCCAGACAGCACAGAATATTCTATAAATATTCTGACAACGTTCAAATATACTAACTTTAGAATATTCTTATAGAATATGTTCTCAGAATGATCATAGCATATTCTCATCCTGCAGTGAATATTCTATGAACATTCAATTCGACATATTCTATTCTCAAAATATTCTTTTTGAATGTTCTGAGAATATCCTTTTTGAATATTCTGAGAATATTCAGAATCCTTTCTCAATATCCTACCTTCTCTTTCAATATACTAGGAACAGTCGAATATTCTGGAAATATTCAAATATTCTCGAAGAATAATATCCTATAAACGTTCCATGATTGACATTGTGCTATTTGGGGTGTGGAAATATGATTTTATCATAAAAAGTGCCAAAGTTTACTGTCAAAAATGTTACGGCAATTTGAAATGAATAATGACAGCGTATACAGAGCTTCCTCTAGATGTTACATGAAAATTAATATAAATCATGATTGCTCACGTTAAAACAACCCTGGGTACCAAATTTCGTGCAAATAATTCATGTTTTGTCAAAGTTATTTTCAGAAAATGTACGGAAAAGTTTGATTTCAATACCTCGTATCTCCGAAACAAACCATTCCCGGATACAAGTTCAAATAGACTTTTTTTGTTAAAATTGTCTCAGAAATGCGTCACTTGAATATTCCAACGTAGTTACTTATGTTACACCCTGTATAATAACTTGATAACTGTAATAATAGTTTTACCTACTACCAATATGTAATGTGAAACATTACAACACTGATTTAAGCACTAGTGCGGTAAAGTGAAAAAAATATAATTTCAAATTTTATTTTTACACAAAAAAGAAATAAGAACCAATTTATAATGAATATAGCAGGTACTAAAGTTTCGATAGCTGATTTTATTCTCAAGTGATCCTAATTGTCTTTCTTCCTTTTGGAGGGCAATGAAGGGAATCCCTATCATGTGCATGTTACTTTTCGTGAAAGAAAACGTGATCAAGATTGACCGATGATAAAGGTTTCACAGAGGTGGTATGTCCTTAAGGTGGACTCACTGTAATTGGGCAATCCCAAAAAGTTAATTTGATTTTTTAGTAACTCCTCCAGAATACGAACCGCCAGGCTTCGCACCAGCAATTCAACCGAATTGCATGAAAATTGACCCTTGTGATGTGCATTTGGGGACATTGCGTACAGGATATCATAAATTGACATGCAGAGCTCGAGGATTAATAGTAAGGAAGACACAATACACACACACACACAAAATAATTTCTCTAACCAAAAAAGAAAGCTCCAAACCAAGCATATATTGTATCAAATGAATATTTTCAGAATTGCACAATATTATTTTGAGTATAGTAGATTAGGTTATCTTTATAGAGTATGGAAACCTATGATGGAATGAAATACCTATCTCTATAACAAATAGGAGATTTTACCTAACAAGTATGTACACGTGTTAGGTACACTATTTTTTCTACTTTCGTGTGGAAAAACCCAATTTTCCCTTTTCCGCACTCATTTTAGTGCTAAAAGTCTTTTCCGCACTAGTGCGGGTGAGTGATTTCAACACGATTGTAGAAAATAGTAATTTTGAAAATTTTCAACTATCTGTCAACCGAGCTGTCAACCTACCCTACAAATCAACCTCTTCAAAATTTTTTGATTGTACAAGAAGGTGTCAAATTACACCTTGTTGTTTGAAAAGATCCAAACTTTTATTTCGTAAAGTTGCTTCATATACAGGGTCATTCGTTTTTCCGGAAAGGAGATTAACTTTGATTTTCTCAATAAAAGTTTAGTTTGTTTGACAGAACTTTTTCATTTAAAATTTTTTCATATCTTTAAAAGCGAAAGGGTTAAAGGAGGATTTCATTTTGAGAGGCGCACCCTGTACTGTTTCATACTTGTATAGTTAATGCACCTACATTTATAATAGGTTTTTTATACTGAATGTCCGTCTCGTGAATGATTTATTGTTCAATTCAAGAATATGAAGATGTCTGATACAAGAATGAATTTTTTTCAAAACAAAGTTATGGAGATTTCGAATGAAGAAATTCGTGAATGATACTTTGAGTTAGGGCATTGACGATGATTGATACAAAAATCAATATTTTTTCACAAGAACATTGAAAATTCTCAAATGAAGTATATACAGGGTGTTTCATAATACATGCGCAGGACTACAGGATGTGATGGCTCGTTCAATAATATGGAAAAAAGTTTTTATTAAGTTACCCGCTAGAATGTACTATTTTCGAGATTCAGGGTGTGGAAATTTGAAAAAAAAAATCTTCACCAATTATGACTCAAAGAAAAGTTCCGTGCGAAACATAGCTTATAATATATTATGAGTAGAAAATGCTTACAAAAGCCACTTTGTGCGATAAACGGTTCCAGAGATATTAGCAGAATGCGAGTTTTCTTTCAAATTTCAACACCCTGTATCTCGAAAATGGTGCATTTTAGAGGGTTAATAGAAACTGTTTTTCATATTCTTCTGAGGATATATTATGAAACACCCCGTACGTTCTTCAATGAAGGAATACAACGAAACATATGCAAATTTTTATTTGAGAAGAGTAATATGCTTTCCCCAATAATATTCATTCAGAGTTACGAAATATATTGTCATTCACCAGAAACGTTTTTAGGAAACGAATATATTTTCTTGAAATGAGACATCTTTTTTATGTGTGCAGTGTGCATTCATTCACATCCACATTAGTACTGATTCGAGTCCCTGTATATACTTTATGCACGACCGGGCGTAAAGTAGCACTTTACCGCCCGGGTTTGCGGGCGTAAAGTGGCACTTTACCGCCCGCGGACTACTTTACCGCCCGGCGGGCGATAAAGTCATTGAGCTGGTGGTAAAGCTAATGTCACTGTCATATCGATAGAAATCTAGATTCCAATGGTTTCAATTAATGCAAAATGATTGGGAAAATAGATCTGAATTATACATATCTCTATTATCATGTACATTTAAAGTAGCTTTCAACATGGAATAATATGACCACATGGAAGAGGGCTTACGAGATTTTGATTTTTCCAGAAAATAGGCAAGAAGCACACTTTCAGTGTAGTTCTTACTTTTACATTATTTCTGTCGCACCAGCTTACGAATTCTTCGTATACTTTGTCGTATATTTTTTTTGATTTACTTGGCAATAAACTCGATTTTGCTTCCTCAGCTGCCTCACTAATTTCTGGTGGAGTACAATTCACACTTTCTTCATCACTAGAATTCATTTTGAAATCACTAATGAATTATGTATGATTACACAAATTGACAGTTAATATGGCCTATTAATTCCTATTTCAAAAAATTGACTGAGTTGCCATGGTAACGTTGATTCCATACTTCTTGATTAATTGTATTTGCGATATGGATACAATACAGTCTCACTGCAACCGTGATGTATTTTTATTGTGCTTGAGGGGTGAAGGGATACCTACATGAGATATCAAATATATACAGGTCGTTCATAAAATGTTGTATGTATTTCGGGCGTAACTAGCTTTCATGGACCTAGGCGTGTTAATAGCCCTCGCTATCGCTCGGTCTATTACTTACACGCTGCGGTCCATAAAAGCCTATTTTACGCCCTTGATACATAAATAACTATTAGACAAGAGTCCGGACACAGCTATACTTCTGTCCTTTTTTGATTTCAAAAAATGCATTGATGATTGGATAAAGGAATAAGACATATATATCGACCTCTGTCTTTTCAATTCCCCTAGTATCAATTATTGTCAGAAACAATTTTGAGGGTTAGATTATTTGTCAAACCGTTCATAGCCGTTGGTAGAAGTGAGAAATAGGGCTATTTCAACTAGAATAACTATCAGATATTTCTTCACTTCATTAGATATAAGAATCTCTATCAAAATGGGCCTAAAATCCATCTTTTTTGTACTGTTTTTACAAGTAAATTTGGATATTCACCTCACATATTGCGGATTTCTTGAAATTAATTCTCCATTCTGGACGTTTCATTGCATTCTTCCATGACATTATCTTTGAAGGATCATTCGGAAAATTGAATAACTTGAATCCCTTCTCTAATGAATTATCGCAGGTAATATCCCGAGACCATGACAAATAGCCGACTATTATTTTCGTCATAATTCTATCGAGAGTACCTTGTATTTTGACAATTTGATGAGACCATATGAACATAAATAATCTGAATAACTCCCGAGAGCTTTAGCTCGAGGGAGTTATTCTATGATTATTTATGTTCATATGGTCGAATTGAATTGTCCCAAAATACAAGTTACTCGAGATGGATTAACGAAAATAATAGTCTCCATTTGTCATGGTCGAGTGATATTCAGGAAGATTATTTCATGAACAGTGCAAAAATACTGGTTTATATGAGTTTCAACATTTTATTCAAGTTACAATTCTGCAGATACTATTTGAATAAAAATTCTTCTGAAGGCCGTCTGGGGTATTCTCATCATATCTACGTACAATTGTATCAAATTTATCTGAAGTTAGAGCAAAGAAAGAATATTAACGTTAATGATAGCGTTGATATTCCTTGATTAGAGCTTATGTACTTTCATTTCTTGTTTGAGGAAAATAATGTAGGCTTCGCCTTTTTGCATTATGCGCAACCCTGGCACCTGTGAATTCAATATATCCAAATGGATTTGCCTTACGTTTATCTTCATTGAAGTAATCTTCCTGTACATAGTTTTCCATATCAATTTCAACTGTGTATTCCTAATATTCCTCACCATTCTCCTCACCCACTCTTTCAGGATTTGGGAAATCACGAGAGATATGGTACCTAGTCGTACAAAATTCATAGTTTTTCTGCTGGCAAAAAAACATGAATTGTTCCAGACAGACTCTTTACTCTTCTTGTTATTTTCTGATATCGATTCGCTTACATAATAACGAATTTTCGCAGTGGAAGTTGGCTCAAAACGAGACATTTCAATTTTTCAGTGACTGATAGGTATGTCAAAGTTTGACAACCATAGCACCCGTATGCTAGCGAACAGAATAGCCGCTCATATTGTTTGTTTACCTAAATAGCCGCTGATATCGCATATCATGTGACTTCAATCATGACATTTGATAGGTCCAGCCGAGTGTGAATGAAATAATCGCAATAATGTACGCAGCAGGACATTGAAATAATTTGAAATGCTAAATTTTGGCGGTAATAAAATTTCAAAGTGACAGTGACAGAAATTCGTTATGGTGTTTCGTCACATTGTCAGGTGGGCAAACCAAATGGAACAAAATATTTAAAACCCCAACGACTGTCAGTTTTGTGTCCGGACTCTTGTCTAAGGTATATACAGGGACTCTATTGGCAAACTGAATTTTTGGAAGTGGTTTTGAAATGAGAATGTTATAAAAGTAACAATGATAACAATCGATGTCAGAATTCAAATCAAGTTTTTTTCAGATAGATGAAAGAGCTCTAACACCTCTGCCTGCTTATACTGAAGATGATGAGTTCAAGGAAAGCGTAGATGAAAATAAAATGGATGTAGATCAAGAGGTTTCCACTAAACTTAATAATAAGAGAAAGAGATCGACATCGCCAAATAAAAAGATCATTGGTTTGTACACTGAAAAAAATCTCAATCATATTTTTTTGTAATAAGAGAATTCTTTGACGTCACTGGCTTATTTCTTTGTGAGGAATCTAATTTTGACTTGCTATTTTCCACGATATTTGGATAATCGAAAACTCATTTACGAAAACTTCTAATATTTTCAGTCCATGAAGAAATCATCATCCTAGACGAAAATGAAAGGAGTGTTAAGAAGGGCCCGAATAATGGGAACAAATTCAACACTAGCAATATCACTATTTCTGGTAAGATTGCTTCCAAATTTCAAAAGATATCATTTCTGGTACTATTTTTTTCATTTTAGCAATGGTAGTACTTACATGACTATCTAACATTTTTTTGATGTGTCGATTTACACAGTCAATTGCTTATACAGAGATCGAAGTACACAAAAAACGGCCAGGATTGTGACTTTTGAATTATTCTTCAATCACTTCTAGTTTCACCGGAAACGACCCCAACCCTTGATTTCCAAATGGGACACCCTGTATTGTATTGCATAATCGGTTAGGGATTATCATGACGAATTCAACGATACCGGGTTCGATAGGGTTATTTCAAATAATTTCAGAGATATTTGCATTCGGAGTTTCCATATGCTCAATGGATGTGACTTCGCAATATCAAAACTTCTTTCTCTGTCACACTCATTGAGCATATGGAAACTCCGAACGCGAATATCTGCGTAATCGTTTGAAATAACCCTCTTAAACCCGGTATCGATAAATTCTTTTTGACAATCCCTAACCGATTATGGAATACAATACAGGGTGTCCCATTCAAAGATCGAAAGTTGGAGTCGTGCAAATTATCCTTTGGATGGGAATAATAAGTGTTTTGGGAAAAACAATTATTGTTGAAATGTCTAACAGAAAACAACTAATTTCCTGGCTAATATCACAGAATATTGAATCATATCTGTCTAATAGGTATTGGAAATACCTAATTTGAGAAAATGGAAATAAATATACAATAACTATTTATTAAATCTCTAACAGAATACAACTACTTTCCTCGCTACTACCACAGAATATTGAATTATATCTATTATGTAAAATGGAAACAACAATCTCAAAGTCATTATTACCACGAATGTTCATAAATGAACGAAATTGGTAGATAACGAGAGACAAACAACTACTTTCCTAGCTGTATATGCCACGCAGAACATTGAATTACATCCTTCCGAAATCTATGCACTAATTCGTATAGACGAATAAAATCGCAACTGTTTCCTTCCTAAATGCCAGGCTGTGTGCCCAAGTGGTTCAGGAACGCTTGACCACCTGCAGGCCGAACTTTCGGCTCTCATCAGGGCAGGGCTGTCCCAGATAGCATTCATGACAGCTAACTGGTGCGAAGCGGACCCAGCGTAAACGCATCTCAGCATTTATACCCATCGAGACGTTCAACGTCCGCGAAATGAACCGCGAACGCCGAACGCCACCTGGCAAGGAAAGAAACACTCCAAAACAAGATCCCATTTCTGATTGTCTGGACGGCGACAACATCGCCATAATGCTGAGCAACGATCTGAACGATTCCTGCCACACTGCGCCTAATACGGCCACCGCTCATAATACGGCCACCACTCTCAATACTGGCCGTTTTGAGAGCAATGGCCGTATTGCGAGCAACCACTGATCTCAATACGGCCAACACCGTGCTCGAATTGCGTCTGCAAGCTGACGCTGCTTGTGAAAACGAGCGCGATAAATGCTCACAAAAATTATAATCTTCCGAAAAATATTACCATAGGGAGATTTGATATTGATTCTTCTAGTATATTACACAGAATAATTCTAGAATGTAAGAAATTCACGATACTCTATTTGAAATATAAAAATGTTATACTAATTTCGACGACAACAACGCCACCATGCGGAGCTACGCCCAATATGGCCATCACTCCTAATACGGCCATCGTGGTGCCCGATTGCGCTTGCAAGCTGACGCTGCCTGTGAATACTAGGGCGATAGATTCTCAAAAAAATCATGATTCTTCGAAAAACATGACCCTCCCTATGGTATTTGCTATTAATTTTGCTAGTATATTACAGAGAATAATTCTAGAATGTAAGGAATACACGGTACTCTATTCGAAGTTTTAATCACTTTCTGTCAGACTGTCAGGATGACGACAACAACGCCACCATGCTGAGCAACGACCTCAACGATTCCTGTCGTACCGCACCCAATACGGCCACTGCGCCTAATATGGCCACCACGGTGCTCGATTGCGTCTGCAAGCTGACGCTGCCTGCACATGCGCAAACGGGCACAATCGCGTGCGGCAGGTGCGGGCGGCGTTGCCATGTGCCGTGCTGCGGCTTCTTGAGAGACGAAGAGGCGGTCGGCGCGGAGTTCTATTGCCTACGATGCGACACGAACGACAAGACCATGTCGTCGTTCAGTGCCAGCGATGCCAATCTGGTCGCCATCATAAGGTATGTTTTATTCATTCGTTGATTTGTTTGTTCGTTCATTTGTTCATTCGTTCGTCCGTGCACTCGTTCGCTCATTCGATCATTCGCCCATTCATTTCTTCGGGCATCCGTTCACCCGTTCATACGTTTCTCGGTTCCTTCGTTCCTCCGTTCGTCCGTTCCTTCATTCCTTTGTTCGTTCGTTCATTCATTCAATCACCCATGCATCCATTCATTCATGCATCCACTCCTTCCTTCCTTTCTTTCTTTCTTCCTTTCTTCCTTTCTTTCTTCCTTTCTTCCTTTCTTCCTTTCTTCCTTTCTTCCTTTCTTCCTTTCTTCCTTTCTTCCTTTCTTCCTTTCTTCCTTTCTTCCTTTCTTCCTTTCTTCCTTTCTTCCTTTCTTCCTTTCTTCCTTTCTTCCTTTCTTCCTTTCTTCCTTTCTTCCTTTCTTCCTTTCTTCCTTTCTTCCTTTCTTCCTTTCTTCCTTTCTTCCTTTCTTCCTTTCTTCCTTTCTTCCTTTCTTCCTTTCTTCCTTTCTTCCTTTCTTCCTTTCTTCCTTTCTTCCTTTCTTCCTTTCTTCCTTTCTTCCTTTCTTCCTTTCTTCCTTTCTTCCTTTCTTCCTTTCTTCCTTTCTTCCTTTCTTCCTTTCTTCCTTTCTTCCTTTCTTCCTTTCTTCCTTTCTTCCTTTCTTCCTTTCTTCCTTTCTTCCTTTCTTCCTTTCTTCCTTTCTTCCTTTCTTCCTTTCTTCCTTTCTTCCTTTCTTCCTTTCTTCCTTTCTTCCTTTCTTCCTTTCTTCCTTTCTTCCTTTCTTCCTTTCTTCCTTTCTTCCTTTCTTCCTTTCTTTCTTTCTTCCTTTCTTCCTTTCTTCCTTTCTTCCTTTCTTCCTTTCTTCCTTTCTTCCTTTCTTCCTTTCTTCCTTTCTTTCTTTCTTCCTTTCTTCCTTTCTTCCTTTCTTCCTTTCTTCCTTTCTTCCTTTCTTCCTTTCTTCCTTTCTTCCTTTCTTCCTTTCTTCCTTTCTTCCTTTCTTCCTTTCTTCCTTTCTTCCTTTCTTCCTTTCTTCCTTTCTTCCTTTCTTCCTTTCTTCCTTTCTTCCTTTCTTCCTTTCTTCCTTTCTTCCTTTCTTCCTTTCTTCCTTTCTTCCTTTCTTCCTTTCTTCCTTTCTTCCTTTCTTCCTTTCTTCCTTTCTTCCTTTCTTCCTTTCTTCCTTTCTTCCTTTCTTCCTTTCTTCCTTTCTTCCTTTCTTCCTTTCTTCCTTTCTTCCTTTCTTCCTTTCTTCCTTTCTTCCTTTCGTCCTTTCTTCCTTTCTTCCTTTCTTCCTTTCTTCCTTTCTTCCTTTCTTCCTTTCTTCCTTTCTTCCTTTCTTCCTTTCTTCCTTTCTTCCTTTCTTCCTTTCTTCCTTTCTTCCTTTCTTCCTTTCTTCCTTTCTTCCTTTCTTCCTTTCTTCCTTTCTTCCTTTCTTCCTTTCTTCCTTTCTTCCTTTCTTCCTTTCTTCTATTCATCCATTCATCCATTCATCCATTTATCCATTCATCCATTCATCCATTCATCCATTCATCCATTCATCCATTCATCCATTCATCCATTCATCCATTCATCCATTCATCCATTCATCCATTCATCCATTCATCCATTCATCCATTCATCCATTCATCCATTCATCCATTCATCCATTCATCCATTCAATCAAGTAAAATCTACATACTTTGTCATTGCATATTAGTTTCATAAACGGGTGCTTATTAGTGCTAATTAGGGCATTCTGGGGCTAATCAGTGATCTGATGAGAAATCTGACCTTTTTTCCATGGTTCTCAAGATATCACCGAAAAACTGAATGTTGGGATTTTTGTTTCAATTTTTCAAAGAAAATCTGATCAGGTTATCTGTTTTTAAACCGAAATATTCTCAGAGCAGTTTTGCGAGGACACACGAAGGAACGAACACGACGCGTCTGAATAACATTCTGAAAAACTTTTTTTTTTCACGAACATTTGCCCAATTCACAGTTGCAACTGTGAATTATTTAATTTCGATTGGTCAGCAAATGAAGTATATTTGAACCTCAAGAGATTTCAGAAGAGTTGAGAAACACCCAGAATAAAATTGCTATGTCTTATTTGGACGTTATTTTTCTAGATTAATTTTACATCATTTGAATAAAACTAAAACGCTTCCCGAAGACATCATGGAATTGATAGACGAACCTCGCAAAAAAATGATATTCACGAAGTTGAAGGAATTTGATATTTTCACAATCGACGAGGATACCAAAAAAGGGTGAGTGGTCTTAGGATTAAAAAACTTAACGGTTTATAAAATAAGTGTGAAATTGTTAGGTAATTCACTGAAACTATTCTACACCTTTTTCAATATTACTTCAAAAAGCTTACGTCAAGTTAATTTCCAAAAGTGTCAATTATATTTCAAATCAGTCAATTTAATCTCAAAAAGAATCAAAAGTATTTCAAAATTATCATTCCAATTTCGAAATGTGTCATTTCTATATCAAATTAATCATTTTTATTTCAGAAAGTATCAAATGTATTTCAAAATTATCGATTCTATTCCGAAGTGCGTCAATTGTATTTCAAATAAGTCATTTTAATTTAAAAAAAATCCATTTCAATTTCAAGATTCATCAATTTCAATTCCAAAACTGATCTTTTCTATTCATATGATGCCACAATGACAGGAACCAGAAGCGTTCCAATGAGAATATCACCTAACGCCAATCCAACCTTTTCCTGTGCTTTTTCAGTTCTGAAATTCAAATGATGCATTGACATTAATTTGATATACAATTGATATTTTTTGAAATCAAAATGACTAATTTGAAATATAATTGACGCATTTTGAAATTGAAATGATAATTTTGAAATATATTTTGATATTTTTCGAAAACAAATTGAATAATTTGAAATCCAAATGATGTTTTTTGAAATCCAAATGAAAATTTGGAAATACAATTGATAATTTTTTAACTAAAACTTAAACTAAACTCTGTACATCTTCAATTTTGGAGTATTTTGCATGTAAACTATGGATCAGTCTTCAAACTAACAACCAGTTGAGGAACTCTACTGATATGTAGACCATGCTGATATTCTGCTTTTTTTTTAGGGTATTCAATAGATCAAATCTAGATGTGATAGTCCCACTTCTTTTCAATACAGATAATTCACAGTTTCTCAATTAGTTTCTCCGTTTTTAAGCAAATGGAATAATTTTCAGCTGCAGCTGATCCTTAAGCTAAAACTTAATATAATTATTATTTGCATTATTGTTGTTGTTGTGTGTTGTTATTGTTGAAATTACTGTTAAAGAAATGAGTTTTATGTGAGTTGATCGAATAAATGATAATTTTATCTTCTATATTGTTGTTTTAATTTTTCATTGAACTTTCGATTTTCATCTCTCAAACTATATGATGTTTGATGCAAAGTCGAATGTACCAAAAAAAAATATGATAATTGACCATTTTTCACCAACTGACCTATAATTATAATAAATGGAAGGCTATAGTTCTCAGTTTCACCAAAGAACCAGAACATAGATCAAAGGCATGCTGTGCTGACGACGATATTCCACTTTAAATATTTTCGCCAAAATGGGCGAGTGGACTGATATAGTTATTTTCCTAACAAGTGCGCAAAGTGTTACTTTTCCGCACGCAAATACAGTTAGGCGAACGACGCGGAGCGGAGTTCGAATAAGTTTTTGCGTGCGGAAAAGACACTTTGCGCACGTGTTAGGAACAACGTTTTTCCTACGAGTTTCATATCAGATAAAAAGGAAAATAAAAAAAACTTATTGAAAAATGTAACTGTACCTACAACAATCACATAACAATGAAATATAACAATAGAAAATCACATTTTCCCTACGAGCTTATCAGATAACAACGAAAATAAAAAAAATTCCTTAAATTACAATTTATTGAATAATTTTTAGTTAAACTTGATAGAAATAGCTGAACAACAAACAATTACATATCAATAGAATATAATATGATAGAAAAATTAAATCATTTGTTCCTTATATTTATATTGATGTGAAATACAAATATCGGATAGAACGGTTGAAAAGTAAAAGGGATATTGGCTTCTTATAGTGCATACAATAGTCTACAGCAACTAAAATGAATATAAATGTTCCATACCAGTGAGATTTTTGGGTAAATTTACTTATTCGCACGCCGTGCGGATAACACCCATATTCGCATTAAGTGCGAAAAAGCATTACTTTTCGCACGCAAATGAATGCGAAAAACTACTACTTTACGCACGCTCGTAATAAAATGAATTATCGGCATTCAATTACTCCAATGTGTCGTTAGGAACCTAAATTAATTTTTGCAACACTTCTCACGATCTTTTTACGTATATAATGTGTCTATGCGTTGTTTGAAATTGTTGAATTTCAGAGCTCCTTTCAAACGAACCGTCATGGCCGCTATTTGGCGAAACGTCGAATAAATGGTGACGTCAGTTTTTATTCTGTTTAGTTATTGGTCAGAAAATCTCTCATTTCCACTCATGAAACAAGGTTGTCAAGTCAACAATTATAATCAAGTTATCAAAGAGATGTAATAGTCGAGTCGTTGAATAAAACATAATAGGAGGAACCCCCATGATATGATAGTTCTTTCTTGACTTCTTCGAGCAACTAACATGTCGAAATATTTCTAATTCTCCATAACAAAATATAATGTGAATGTTGGAGACTTGACAACATTGTGCTGAATGCTGAGAACTGACCAGACCACGCCCACAATTCATGCGCTGTTGTCACGTTCACCGATTCAAATGTCCTCTAGTGTGAATAAATATAATTATTATTTACACAAATTTATTATGAGCAATAATAATGAACTACAAGTCATAAGGAAACATTTTGAGACAATTGAATTTTTGAAAAGGAATATTCTCAGATAAATTATGGACATACAAAAATGGATATATATTTATATGAAGCAATACATTGAGAATTCGCATTCTCTATGTGATGAGAATATCTACTTTTTCAGTTTATTCAATAGAAAACAATTACTTTCCTGGCTATATACCCCGACGAACATTGAATTATATCTATTGAACACACACGATAAGAGTTTGAAAATAAAATATAAAAAACTTCTGAAATTGAGAATTTGCATTCTCCAGACAAAAATATGTATATGCAAACATCATTCTGAATATTCAACAGATGAATATTGGTAAGTTATATTTCTATATCATCATACATCATATTATTCATCCGATTTGAAGAAGAATGTCAATTCTCAATGTCGGAGGATTTTATATTTTTTATTTTTGATATTCTCCTTCTGAATGCATGTTCATCAGATATAATTCAATGTCAGGAAAGTAGTTGTTTTCTGGTTTTCTGTTGAATATTCAGAATGATGATTGCATATAGGTACATATATTTTTGTCTGAAGGAGAATGCAAATTCTCAATTTCAGAAGTTTTTTATATTTTATTTTCAAACTTTTATCGTGTGTGTTCAATAGATATAATTCAATGTTCGTCGTGGCATATAGCCAGGAAAGTAGTTGTTTTCCATTGAATAAACTGAAAAAGTAGATATTCTCATCACATAGAGAATGCGAATTCTCAATGTATTGCTTCATATTAATATATATCCATTTTTGTATGTCCATAATTTATCTGAGAATATTCCTTTTCAACACTTTCATACCCAATCAGGGGGTTCAAACTTGAACGATGGAAACTTGTGATTTTTATAGACCTCTAATCGCAGATTCGTGATAGAGTCTCAATTCAGAATTTCTTTCCACGCCCTGTATGATGAATGCCAATTTATCATACACCCAAAAGCAATTGAATTTTTATTGCTAATTAGGGATATTACGAATACTTGATTGTGAATTTATGAATTATTGAATAACTATTATTTCTGAAGTTTCCAATCGTATTTCCTGACAACTGTATGTGGTCTGCCCTCACTTACGAAATCGTGGCGTCAGTTTTCACTGGCGGTAAATTTCTAGCCGTTTGAAGATTACCGTGGCATTATTGATGATTTCAGCACCTAAAGAATCTTTGAAAAAAATGGAATTGAGAGGTATTTGAGTGATGATTCTATTTAAAAAATAAAAAAAACAGAGTCCACTCGCCTATTGCACATATTCGGATGGGGTTCTTTCAAATTTGAAGATGAATTCACTGGGTATATGACAGATAAACCGCTGATGAAAATACATGATGACATCAGGCTTTACAGGGTGACAAACAAACCTCCGCAAAATATTGAAACATTCTCCATGCTCCCAATTTGATGAAACATTTCTTGGGATTTTCTCAATCGTTTTCATATTGCTCAAGCATAATCCTCTGAAAGGTTTCGCAAGTTTTCTCTAACCTCTTCAAGTAGTAAACTGAAAAGTGTTTTCTAAAACTGTGATATTTTGTACATCTGACCAGATGATGATGCCTCGCCCACAAACTCACTCACTTCTCTGGAACACCGTAGGAAAGTTGGCGATCTGGCTCTATTTTATAGATATTTTCATGGACGATTATGCTCTTCTGGAATATCAACAATTGTTCCTCCCTTGGCAGTCCCCGCGAGATTAACCCGTCGAGTTGAGGCTTCGCACCCCTTCGTGGTCACATTGGAGACCTGCAAAACATCTCTTTCCAAGGACTCGTTTATCCAACGAACAGCGAGGCTCTGGAACACATTGCCAAGGGTGGTGTTTTCCGAGGCATATAACCTCCAGTAATTCAAGATGAACACCAATTCCTACCTTATTTCCCTTGGTTCTCACGATGTTCTCTGAACATTACAGGATATCCCTTTTCGTGGAAACCAGAACATGAAAAAAACATGGCTAAAATAGCATTCAGCGTACGGATATGTACCAAGCTGAATGATCGATCAATCACGGATTGATGATCTGTGGTTTATTAAAAAAATCAAACACGTTACCAAGGCAACAGAATTTCCTCAACACATTACCATGGCAACAGAGTTTTTTAAACACACCTCCAGCCGTTTGAGTCCTGTCCTGTCCGATCTGTCAATTGTAGGAACTGCCAACTGTCATTTTGGAATAATTGTTGCAATCAGAATTATTCGAACAATTTCTGTTCGTATCAGAATTCTTCAATAAAAGTGAACCATTTCGGTATACTCGCCATTTTGATGAACTTCAAACTCTGATGACATTACTGTAATATTGTTCTACTGAGCTACTACTTGTAAGCCTGTTTGTGCGCGGTCCTCGGCGGCTCAGCGGCGATAAAGTACTTGGCGATGGTACGCTGCACCCACTTGAGCCTGCCCATCTGGAAGTGCCACTTGCCCAGCATGTAGTGCGCGGCAAAGTCTCTCGAGTCCAGCTCGCAGTCGCGCGCCAAATGGTCACGCACGGCAGAAGAGGCCTTCATACGAAGGCGCTGAAGGGCCACCTATACTTTTTTTTTTCGTATCCCGACTTTAAAGTCGAACCCCCTACTTTAATGTCGGGGGTCCGACTTTATTCTCGGGGTCCCGACTTTGATCTCGGGATCCCGACTTTGATCTCGGGATCCTGACTTTAATCTCGGGATCCCGACTTCAGAGTCGGACCCCCGACTTTATTCTCGGGATACCGACTTCAAAGTCGGGGGTCGCACCTGTACAGGATGTCTCTTTATATTTTGATCCCTACCTACATCTTCAACAATACGAAGTGGAGAAAATTTCAAATATGAAAGTTGTAGGGTTTCATCTATACAATCTTTTTAACTCTTTGAACAAAAAAATGCGAATCGCGAACTGAAAAAAGAAAGTATGATGGAACCTTTATTACAGAACTTTCGTGAATGTACACCCGAACGGTAGGTACTTTTTATACGTACCTACCTATATATATATGTATGTTAGCTTTCAAGAACCCGCCTCTGATGATTTCATCACCTCCTCGGAGACTGGGTCCAACGCAAATCTGATGACCGGGCAAAAAGCACAATAATTCGAACAGTCAAGCACAATTCGAGCAGTCAGTCGTTGACATTCATATTGCGAACTTGCTTCCATATTTTATTTATCACAATTCCATTGAAAAACAATCATTTCGATAATTTCGAGTTTAATTTAGACTAAAATCTATCATCAGAAGTGGGATACCTCCTTTGAGCCCAATATCGAAGGAGGAAGGACAAAATCCTGTCGAGAAAATATTCTTTT